TTTTTCTCATATAATTTTATTACCATATTCATTCTCTCCTACTGGACTAGACATTTGGGGTGTAATTTGTGGAAAAAAAACGTAAACAAAGAGTGAGATTATGGGAGCAAGATAAATATACCCGGTCTCACTGGCTGCTTCAGCAAGACAAAGGAACCATCTTGAATTACCCGAGCGGTGGCTAACATCTCTACCAGTTGTACAAGTTGACAATTGAACTCATTTCAAGTTCAGAAGGAAATCATGATCGATGTATAAACACGTCTGTTGATGTTTTTTGAACGTTATGTTTTGAATGTGTTTATTCAAAAGTGTCTGAATAAGACACTTCCGGTGAAAACGTATATACACGTCTTCGCCGAGGAAGTCTTTGAAAATTGTAGGTGACACAGAAGCAAGGAATCGGAAGAGTGTTCCACAGGTGAGAAAAGAAACTATTAGAATAAAACTGATGGTTATCTCTACCAAGTTCAACAGTAAAACGGTGCCAGTCTCGTAGCACGCTTAAATTCGTGCAGACAAGGCAGTACGGAGAACAACTTATCGCAAAAAAATTACCAAGATGCTTTAAAAATGGTAGACAATGGGCGATAGATCAGGGGAGATAACTTGGATGTGTTAAGTCTGGTATCTCAAGTCCGTGGGCCTCTGCAGTGCTATCCTGGTAACATTCAACCGAGTATTGCCATGAAGCAGAATTAGACCTCATAGTTTAACCAGTGCTGGTCGCATTTTGCTTAACTGAATGTGCATTTCATCCAGTAATAATGGTGATGCCCTGGTTAGATTCCCGAAAGCGCTAATGGATAACGCCAATGGCGGTCCACCAGACAGTCACCATAATCTTGGTGTAGTTTCATTTGGGTCCTTCGTCAAGATCAAGCCATTGAGCCGGTCGTTTACGATTGTCGTAAAGGATCCATTCCAAATCACAAGTTACATTTTAATTTAAATTTCGAAAGAGATTGATATATCATTAACAAAGCGGAGAATTTAATCGTTAGGTACGAGTAAGTTATATTTGTGCATTTGTATTAGAACACAAGTAAAGAGTTCTAAAACCGGGTATTATTTACCGAACAACTTAATACAAAGAAACAAAAGGCGAGATAAAAATTATGATACTTATACGTTGCTCCAACGTGATATTTCGACATAGACAATACCTAAG